TGTGTTTTCTTTTGTGAGCTGTAAGGCGACTTCTCCTACTGAATCGCTTTCCGCACTCCGGACATTTATACGGTCTCTCCCCTGTATGAATCCTCTTGTGGTACATGAGATCCGAGGATCCACTGAAACTCTTTCCACATACCAAGCATTGGTACGGTTTCTCCCCGGTGTGAGTCCTTTTATGTTGCATAAGGCTAAAGTTACGCCCGAAGCTCTTCCCGCACTCCAGGCACTTATAAGGTTTTTCACCTGTATGGATCATTTTATGGCGGATATAGTGACTGCTCTGATTGAAGCTCTTATCGCACTCTGTACATTTATATGGTTTCTCCCCCGTGTGGGTCCTTACATGCTTGATAAGGCTGGAACTTCCACTATACTTCCTTCCACATTGCAGGCACGAATATGGTTTTTCCCCTGTGTGGGTTCGTTGATGTCTGGTAAGGTGACCAGTCTGACTGAATTGTCTTCCACATACCAGACACGTATACGGTTTCTCCCCCGTGTGGGTCCGTTCATGGATAGTAAGTTTACATTTGTGAGTGAAGGTCTTTCCGCATTCCGGACATTTATATCGTTTTTCCAAGGGGGGATTTTCTGGGGGTAAAATAAGCAACTGCTTCTGGCTGGCACTCTTTTCACACTCATATGGGTCCTTCTCTTTATGGGGCCTAAAATGACTGTTCAAAGTGAGTTTTTCCGCACAATCGATAAATGTATATGGTGTCTCTGAGATGTATGGTGGGTGATGTAAAACAAGAGAGGAGCTAAGATTGATATTTTGCCCATACTCTTGATGTTCACGCTGTTCCTCTTCAATTCGGTTCGTATAATATTTACCGAAAACAGATTTTGCTTTGTCTATTTTGCCACACCCGAAATGTTTTCCAACTTCTTCCCGTTGCTGAAGTGGCTGGGTTGGGAGGCCGAGGACTTCATTGTGACTAGAAGGAGATTTCTTCCTTCCATTTCTTAGACAGCTCTTCACACTCTTCGAAGCTGCTCCCCGATTTCCAACCATCCCGTTTTCAGACTGGATCCCTTGTGCTAGGCTTGGCTCCTGGTTATTTGGCTCCTGGTTATGCGCCTGCCCATAAACTTATTTGAAAAAAGAAAAAAAAGTTCGTTATTTTCATCACAGAAAAATGGTTCACCTGTTATTTCTGCACATTCTTTGTGTGTTTTTCTTATATATAGGTAGTCCCCCAAGTTGCAATTATTCGTTCAGCCACTACTGAAACTTAACAGTGGTGCTTGATTAATGATATTTCTCTCCCAAAGTTGCAACTTTTTCAGGTGTTATGACCCACATCTGTCTCTGAACATCCCCCTAAACATAAAATAAAACTTTGAGAATCTCCCGGTAGAAATATAAACAGAAATTGAATTTTCCTGCCAAGGATAAGAACTGGGCAGAGGTGGCTTAGAAATTCTTCTAAATCCTATGATAAAGGTTAGATTCAGAATAAAGTTGGTTACCAGCCACAGTTCTACCCAGCTGGTGTGCCATCAATCAGTATTGGCATCAAGACTGAACCACTTTACTTCTTTCAAATCTTATCGCTATTCAGGAACGTGGGAGCCTGGATACCATCAAGGTCACCACTCCATTTACGTTTAGTCTTTGAGAGAAAAAGCCCCAGAATGTCTTTCTGAGCACTTATGGCAACCCAAGTCTTTCCACAAATACCTGAATCCAGAGCAAAACAGGTCCTTACCCAGAGCAGCCACGTTCCTAGAATTCTCCAGCATGACTTCCTCGTGCAAGGCTCTCTGGCTGGGATCCAGCAGAGCCCACTCCTCCTCCGTGAAATACACAGCCACCTCCTCAAAGGTTACCGAGCCCTGAAGATCAAAGTAAACGTTCCTCAAAAGAAGAAGTGCCAGGAAGTGCCCTCCCAAATTTCCAATATCCTAAAAGTGAGTTTGATAAGGCAGAAAATGCTTCTTTTCTGACATAATGTACTACAAGGTTTTTATAAGCTGCCTCTCCACAATCCACCTGTCTGGTTAGAACTTCTTCCTACCACAATTCGTTTTTTTTCTTCTTTGCACAAGCTATCATTTTGATGAAATAACTGCAAATTGCACATATATAGCAGGGATTCGGACCCTCACCTCTCTCCAGGCCTTCCGAAAAGCCGTCAAAACCTAGATTTACCGGCGGGCCTGGGGGTGATGAGTGCCCTCCCCTCTCGACATGTATGGTTGTGCGACTGTTGTCTACTTTTAT